GCGGGGTCTGCGTGCGGGGGAGGGGGCGGCAGCGCCTGGGAGAACCGCCTGCGAGCTACCTGGGGGGCGAAACAACATCAGCCAAAGCCTCTTTCCGCAGCAGAGAGAGAAAAGAGCGAGCTGGGAGGGAAAGCGAACCGGAGCGTGGCGCGGGGAGCTCCTGCCCCGCGCGGGGCCGGGCAGCGGAACGGGGACGGGCCATCCATAAACCACTGACCCGCAGCGGGAGGGCAGGGCAGGGCAGGGCCAGCCCTGGCAGGGGTGGGAGCAGGGCACCATGGTGGGGAGCTTCTGGGTGTCCTCACGGTGCTGTCCCAGGGCATCAGCTGTACCTCGTGGGGAGTTCCACGCCTTGCAGGAGGACACTAAGGGCACTAAGAGATGTCTGCTGCTGGGTGGGGGTGGTCTGTGGCTCTGGCCCCCCTGTGAGGGCCAGAGGACAGATGGGCAACTCTGTCTGCTTCCCTCCCCACTTTCCCTTTTCTGCCCACTTGGTCCCTGTCCCCGTGGGCTCTTCGTGGCCAGCAGCGGGTGGCGGCCCTTACCTGGTGGCCCCCTGCAATCCCTGCAGAAGGGGAACAGGCATCTGGCAAGCCCAGAAGACTCTGGGGGGAGGGAGCGGCGGGCCCTAGGGGGAGTATAAAATAGTCATCTGTAGCGGATGGGTGTGGAAAGGCTTCCAGCAGACACGCTTTGACTCATGATCCTAGGGGGGAGGCAGGGAGGGGACAGGCTCTCTGCAGGGGAGTCATCTTCATGTGGGGGGTAGAGGAAGGTAAGAGAGGAGGGAGAAGAGGGAACGTTGCAAGGATCAGGCAGACTCCAGGCAGCTCTGGGACGTCTGGGTGGTGATAAGGAGAGAGGAGGGTTCAAGCTGCAGGTCCTGTTTATGGATGGCCTCTACCAGGGGTAGATCCTGCTGCCAGCTGGCTCTAGGCGGGCGGCGGAGCGAGGCATGCGGCGCGGGGGGACGGCACATGCGGGCATGCCACGGACACGGCGCTTCCCAGGGCCCGGGGGGCTCCAGAGCCTACCTGGGATGTGGAAATGCTTGGGAGCTTGGTATGAGGTTGGAGTGGAGGACCTCACATCTAACTGGCTATAGTAGGGGGAGCTGCGCCCACTCTCGGTGCCTATGCGGTGCCGAGCAGAAGCAGCCGTGAGTGCCCGAGAGAGAGAACAAGAGGCAGAAAAAAATGGGTGTTAAATGCAGCGGTGTTAGAAGAGCAGGGGGTGACCCACGTAAAGGGGTGACGTGCTGGGCCGTGATGGAGCAGAGGCAGATTTCCTGCATCTCCGGAGGAAGGCGGGATGCAGAGGAAGCCCGGCGTGCGGGGGCTGCCCCGGGGCTGCAGAGCCAAACGCTGACAGGCCCTCGGCGGTGCAGTGTGGGGGAGCTTGGGAAGTGTGGGACCTCCGGACTTACTGACCTCAGGTTCTCCCAGTCGTTCCTCCCGAAGGACAGGAGACACAGCACAGACACGCTCTGCTTCCCCTCAGGGTGTGCCCAGATGTGTGCGTGTGAGCACCCCCTTTACAGTGCTGGCTGGGCACAAGCACTCTCATTCACACCCCTCCCAGATGTACCAAGCCAGCTGAGGGAACTTCACTGGGTCTGTGGGTCCCCTCCCTTCCCAACCCAACCTCCATGGGCCCCAGTGCAGGTCTGAGCCAGGACAAAGCCTCCTCAGCCTCTCTTCACTGCTCCCACAACAATAATCAAGGGAACCAGATGATGCAAACAGCAGTGCTGGTCACTGCCCCAAAGCTTCCTTTTCTGTCAGCCCCCCACAGACCCTCTCAGGCCTCCTGTCTGCTTGACAGAGGAGGGACCACCGAGGTCCCTTGGGAGAGGAGGAAAGAGGGCTCCACTTGGGCATCTGAGCTTATCCCAGCCTGGGGCTGCAGCTGAAATCCTCACCTGAGCGGTAGAAATGATGGGGGGACCTTGGGATGGTGGGGGACATGCCCTGGCGGCTGTAGGTGGGGGAGTCAATGTAGCCAGGGCTGGAGGCTCGTCTCTGCCGAGTGTCAAAGCTCTCGTAGATGTCCTGGGGTTGGGGAAAGGTGTGGAGAAAGTGGGGTTAGAACTGGCAGGATGAGAGACAAAAAGAGTGCTCCACTTGGGCATCTGAGCTTATCCCAGCCTGGGGCTGCAGCTGAAATCCTCACCTGAGCGGTAGAAATGATGGGGGGACCTTGGGATGGTGGGGGACATGCCCTGGCGGCTGTAGGTGGGGGAGTCAATGTAGCCAGGGCTGGAGGCTCGTCTCTGCCGAGTGTCAAAGCTCTCGTAGATGTCCTGGGGTTGGGGAAAGGTGTGGAGAAAGTGGGGTTAGAACTGGCAGGATGAGAGACAAGACAGGTCAGTGCCTTGGTGGCCCTGCTGGGAGGTGTCCCATGGATGAGGGTCCCTGTGCTTGTGGCAGCCTGGGAGGGTGCACGCTCTGTGATGGGACATGCTGGGCAGCATGCACGTCCTCCACACCTGGAGGGTGTCCCCAAGCTGCTCTGCCTCCCCACTACCAAACTGCAGGCAGCAAAGCCCAGGGTTTGGGACCAGGTGACAAGTGTCTGGCTAGAGGCTTTCATGCCCTTGCCTAGAAATAATCTCTTCCCCTGTGCTTATTCCCAGTTACTGGCATCCCCCTCCACTGGGTAGAAGCTGCATCTTGTGTCCACTCTGCAGGGAGGGCTTGCTCACTGCTCTTCTCAGGGCCAGAAGGACAGGACGGGGTCCCCAATCTCCCCCAACCTCAGGACAGCACCCAGGGCAGGAGAACATTCAGCAGAGCCACAGTGATCCCTGGGTAGAGGGATGCCCTATTGCAACAGCAGGTGACAGATCCCACGGTGCCTGGTGAGGGCATTACCTGTGAGTACGGGGAGAGGGTCCCCAGGGACTGGAGGCAGCAGGAGGCAAAGGGGGGGCAGAGAGAGAGAGAGAAAGAGAGAGAGACAGCATATGGTTAAGGGGAGCAGTGACAGACTGGGGTCTCACAGCAGGTTGTTTTCCCCATGTTACAGCCTCATCACAGCTACCAAGCAGTGAGGTGGCACAGCAGGATGCTGGGCAGGGAGCCCCTGGCCAGGTGGGGAGGTGGTGTGAGGATGGCACCTCCTGAATTGGCAGCCTGCATCCCTTCTCCAAGACCTCAACGGAGCAGCTTCAAGGGGGGGGAGGTGGCTGCTGGATCTGTAGTGCTCCACAGTGGGCCATGGCCTTGCTGCCTGCACCATCACTGGCTGGGCTGGAGGAAACCAGGCTTGTGACAAACCTTGGGACTGGAGATATGAGAGGCTGCCACTGGTCAGTACAAAGTCCTCTGTCAGGACCACCTCAGGTCCACCATTTCTGTGTGAGCTGCTCAGACCCACCTCTTCCACAGAATCACTGAAATAATCCAGCAGCCCCAGCCTGCCTGGGAGAGCAGGGCAGAGCAGCCCCATGCCACATGCTGCTTGGGCATCATCTCATCACACACTTGCAAAAGTGCACTGACCAAACCCTCCTCCCCTGGCTGCATGGCCAGCACCCAGCAGGGCAGCCCTGCCACGCTCCAGTGATGCTGTGTTGGGGCTGCATGGCCAGGGGCCAGGCTTTGGGCTGAGCCTGCTGGCTGGCTGCCCCTCCATCCCAGAGGGATGCAGGGATGCTGTGTGCCCTCCTCCTCTCCTGCTGCAGGCTGTGATGGGTGAGCTCCCTGCCACGTTGCTCCCGAAGGTGATGTCTCTTGTGCTGCACTGTCTGCCCCTGCCCGTTGGGTCTGCAGCACAGTGTGAGCAGGGTGCTGCCATCAGCTGATTAGGTCACTGGTTTCTTTCTTACTCTACAGCAGCAGCAGCAAGTCCAGATCAGGCCCTCTTCCCAGTGAAGCCTCCAGGGGAGGTCTTACCCCTGTTGCTCCCTCCTTGCAGTATTCCCATTGGAATGAGCAAACCCCCATGCAGTTTTCCCCACTGCCCCAAGTGGGGCCCAGCTCCCTGTGCAGCCCAGCACTGGGTGTGTTGACTCAGTACCTCCCCATAGCTATATCTCTCCAGCGTCTCATCCGACATGTATCTGTGATAGGGCTCGTAGGAAATGAGGTCAGGACGCTGCACTTCATAGATGGCTTTAATCTTGGGAAGAGCTGCCAGATCTTTGTAATTAAGGATCTCATTATCGACTTTAGCCTAGGGAGAGGGAGAGACAGAGAGGTGGAAAGGCAGAGGAGAGAAGGAAAAGGGCACAGTGTGGAGCCAGCACAGAGCAGACACAGCCCACCATCATTCCAGCAGTAAGAAGAGGTAAGAGGACATGCCCAGGAGACAGCAGTAGGAAGGGGCAGAGGAGCTGGGAGAGTGGGATGTGCCCCTCTGAGTGCTTCTGGGACGTGCCAATGGCACTGGTGGCACAAGATGCTGCTGGGGTGAGGGGGCACAGTGTCTGTGCTGTCCCAAAATGCTGGGCTTGTCCCTGGGGGATGCCTCACACTGCAGAGCAGCATTGGGAACTACTGCCATCCTCCCTGGGGCCAGAGCATCCATCCTGCCTGGCATGGGTGAGGGGCAGAGCTGTACTTACGCAGATGACGCGGTTTGGGGAACCGATGCTGGAACCGGGAGGTGAGATGGAGGTTTCTGATGTCCTTCTGTGCTGTGGAGGCAGAAAAGCAGAGGAGAGATGAGAGCATGACCAGGAGCAACCCCTGAGCAGGCACAGCGCTGGGTGCAGCAAATAAATAATTTGGTTTGGGGCTGGATTTCACTCAAGGTCCAGTTCTTCTACCCTTTTGTTCTGCCCCACCCTGCCCTCCAGCTCTGGCTTCTCTTGGGTCCAAATGCAGTCAGGAGAGTGGCCTGGCAAGACCCAGCAGGCCAGTGTCCCCATGGCCAGCTGGGAGCAGAGGGGGAGCAACAGCTGTGACCTCTCTCTGGCCATGGGCTGGTGCCAGCCAGCACAGGGGGGTAGGTTCCCTCTAACAGCCTCAGCACGGCCACCTGCCATCCTCTGGGCAGCGTGGACAGAGCTCAGGCAAGACCTGAGAACCCACTCCTGACTTGGACACTGCCACAACAGTTCACATCCAGCACGGACTTGGGAGCAACATTACCTGTGACCTGCCACCTCCTGGAGATGTCCCTCACCCTGTTGCCTACCTTGAGCTTCTTCTCTGCTCTGGCTGCCTGCTTGCAGATGGGGTGCCACACTTCGGAGCCTGCAATGCACCAATAGGAAACCGTTTCAGCCAGGTGCGGTTTTAGCCCAGCCCAAGCAGCACTCACACAGCAGCTCCTGCTGGTTAAACAGGGATAACACCGAGCCCGGAACACTCACAGCCAGCAAAGCCACTGAGCTTCACCCAAGTGTGGCCAAGGATGGACGCTGAGCACACTCATCCTGCTGCCCACAACAGGGCGTTGCTGGGACCCCCCCGACTCCAGCTCTCTCACAATTCCCCCTTTGCCACCCATGGGATCACCAGTGACTCAAGAACACAGGAAACATCCATTATTGAGAGAAAGCAAACTCTCCCTCTGTGCTGGGAATAGCTCCCAAGGCAGCTCCAAGCAGGGATGAGCTCCTGCCAAAACCAAACCCAAACATCCCACTGTGCTGAGCTAAAGCCTTGCCCCTCCAGTGCTGCAGAACCTGGACAGGGGGAGTTAGGGGTGTTGGGGAAGGGATGCTGGACCACTCTCCCCTGGGGCTGGGCAGAGCAGGGAGCCAGGCACATTGCAGCCTCTCTCAGCTGGGTGCAGGCCAGGGACACATCCAGATGTGCCAGGCAGTGCTCCCCAGCTGTGCTGGGAGACATGAAGGGAGCAAAAAGCTCCCGATAAAGAACACAGTCTTCTCCAGTTCAGCAGCAGGGAAAGTTTCACAGAGAGAAATGATTGCTGAGTGGCCCAGAAAGAGGGTGCTGGGGAGCAGTGGAGAGGGGTCTGGCATTGCTGGTAGGCATTGCTGACTGGGACTTTGCTGTGCAGACGGATCCTTTGGGCACTGATTGCCATAAGGTCCTGAGCCCCAAGTGCCCCCACAGCCAGCAAACCCTGCACAGCCCCCCTGCTCTGTGCTCCCACATGCGGCAGGGAAGCCCCTCCTTGCTGCAACAGGATTCCTACCTGTGAGATACATCTCTTCGCCTTCCGTGAACATCTGGTGGCAGCGGACACATCTGGCACAGGTAGGGTGATAGTGCTTCCCTCCTGCCTGCAAGGGCGGGCAGAGAAGAGGGGCCCCTGAGCAAGGCAAGCCATGGAGACCTGCCTGCGCCCCTGCAGGACTCTCTGCTGCAGGCAATAAGGAGGTGAATGTGGCAAAACTCCTCAGAGTGGCCTCAGAGACCACTGCAGTGTACAGAGAAAACCAGAGACCACCTCCACTAATGCTTGTGCTGGACTCACAAGCCAAACTAGCATCCTTCTGCCCTCCTGGAGCTGTCCAAGACACAGGACAGCAGAGCCAGGAGGTCCCAAACAAGGGACCCCTACAAACCTCACCCTTAATAAATCGGTTATTTCCAGAGTCCAGGGGTGAGATCCCCCACTCAGCCAAGCAGCCAGGCTTTGCACCAGCTCCTTCCCTCTACAAGTGTGAAAAGAAACAGCAAATTTGGCCCAGGATGTCACAGCAGGGAAGCAGTACATGGAGAAGGGCCCCAAAAGATAAACCAAAACACAGGCTTCCTCCTGCTGTCAGACACTTGCTGGCTACCACTTCCAGCCCCTCTCTCTTAAAGAAACTTTTCTCCTTCTGTGAAGCCCTGCCCAAACTTCAGCACTAGTGACATGCTGCTCCCCAGCTGAGCAGGAGCTGGGCTGCTCCCGGAGCTCTTTGACAGGGATAATAGCTTTAATTGGTAGCTTGTTTCCACTCAAAGTGTCTGCTAGCAGTTCAATTATAGGCTCATTTGCTGGACCGGGACCTGGGAGGCAGGACCTGGCTCTGAGCAGGGGGAATCTGGGCTGCACTGCTAGAGCTGAACCCCAAAGGACATTTTATTCCCATAATAATCCCTAAAGAAGAGGAAGGCTAATTTAAGGTGGCAGAAGGAAGATGAGGCTCTGGCTGACAAAGAGGAGGGTTATGACAGAGGAGGTTGGATCTGGTTTGAAACAGAGGATCAACAGGAAAATTTGCTGTGGGGATAACTAAGAATCTGCCAGTCGATTGCTCATAAAAATCAACCTGGAACTCCATGTCCTTGGGGTGCAGACAGTAGCCAGTGGCTTTTCTCCTCCAGTTCATGCCAAAAGTGAGATGAGTGAGTTTGTACCCTTTCCTATTCCTTTCACTGCAGTGCACCCTAGTCCAGGGAGGGGACATCCCTGTGCCCAAGGCACCTCCTCATGCCAGCTGGAAGCAGCACGACATACCTGTCCCAGCTCAGCCCCGACTTTGATTTCAACAGAGATCTGCAAAACGCTCAACACCCACCACTCCCCCTTGAGGAGCAATTCTCCAAACCGTGCACAAACCCTGTTCCTTTTATATTGGTTATAATTACAGCTCGTAAAAGGCTCATAGATGCTGCGAGGGAAGAGACCTGCTCGTTATCACTTGCAGTCCCTTAAAGACTCATTAATCATCCAAGCCTGGTTGCACAGCTCAGGGTGGCTGGGAAAGCCCAGAGGCTGCTGGGACAGCAACAGAAAGCTCCTTGAGGCCTGAAATTGTTTAAAGGTGCCCTTTCCATTTCACGCTCTGCTGAAGAAAACAATTAAAGCCCCTGGCTTTAGAGATCATTCAATACTCTGAGCAGGCACAAGCTGAGTGGGGAGCATGGGCTGAGCCCTGGCCATGGGGAGGCAAGGGGTGCTCCAATGTCCTTGCCCAGCACAGCCCTTGCCACCCAAACCCTCTGCTTCCCTCAGCTCTGTGTCAGTGCCTGTGAGGAGGTGGCACGTCAGCTCTGCCCGCAGTGCAGCAGCAGGGATTTGACCTCAGGGGACCCTTTGGCTTCACCCTTCTCTGCTCAGACATTTGCTAATCAAGTAGCCCCGTGATGGGCAGCCCCTGGCAGCTGCTGTGGCACTGAGCTCAGGCTCACAGCAGCCAGTGCCGGGACTGCTGCAGAAGCCTGGAGTCAGCAGAAAGCAGAGGCAGCTCCCTGAAGAGAGGGAAGATGCTGGAAGGCTTCTGGCACCTGGGTGTAGCTTCAGGAGAGGCAAGGCTGGGTGCTCTCAGGCCAGCCCAACTGGCAGGAGCGAGAGGGTGACCACTTCTTGGTAGGCTGGAGGTGAAACAGGCTGGAGACCTACACAGCCAGTGCCACTCCAGTCCACAACACCTGAGGTCTGGCTCACTGTGGAGCAGTGGTACCTCTGATTTTGGGATACAGCTTCCTATCATTGCTGTCTGGAAATGGCAGATGTGTGAGTGCCACTGCTGCTCACATTTTCCCTTCCCACCAAGGGAAGGACTAAGGGGTGACTGAGCACACTTTCAGCATCACTGCCTCTCTACACCACCAGAGCCCACTCCCACAGCATCAGCAGGGGGTCTAAAAATCGTAACAGGTTTCATTCTGACATCTTTCTCTCTGCCTACTGAGCCTTTAGTTTATCCTTGGATCAGATTTTCCAGCTTTTTATTCCATCACACAAATTTTGGGGTAGAAACAGTAAGCATGACAGAATAGATGTTGGGAAGGACCAGCCCCGATGGACCTCTCTGTCTCTCCCCAGTAATAACCCCCACTCCCTACACTGGCTGTGCAGCTCCACCACTGCACCAAACAGCCACTTCACCCATGCCCTACTGTGGGATCCCATGGAATCCCTCAGATCCTTGCACACTTTGGTGGCTCAGCCACAGCAGCTCCTGCTGGCCAGCATCCTGGCTCCGAGCAAGGCTCCCTCTGGATTTGGCCATGGACAGGGGACCCCCTGCCCTGCTGGTTGCTATGCTGTGGGGATGGCTGCTCATGGGCAGGGTGCTGCAGCCCCTCACCCAGGCTCTGCAGCGGGCAGCTGTGCTGGATGTGTTTCCAAGGCAACAGGCAGGCTGGCTGCATGGGGATGTGCTCGGAAGGCAGGCTGGGGCAAGCATGGTGGGGATGCTCCAGAGATGGGCATGGCAGTGGCTGGTTAGGGCTGATGTGCCCAGATGTTGGACTCTGGAGGCAACCCAGCATGCACAGCTGTGCTCTGGCTGCTTCTAGAGTTCTGGCACCCCAGCCACCTCTCCAAAGGTCTGCAGTATGATGGTGCTCCTCCCCCCACTCCCAGCTTCCAGAGAAGGTGGTCAGACTGTGTCCACACACCTGCTGCAGGAAGAGCCCTGGCCCGGAGAGACTGCAGGTAGCAGGACAAGGGCACAGGATGATGGAATCCCCACGTCTCCCTGAGGCACCTTGGGGTGGGACAGACAGTCCCTATTACAGACCAGGACAGGGTGGCCGTGGCCCCAGGACTCACCTCCAGGACCCTGCCGCTGATGTACCGGTTGCAGGTCTCGCACTTGATGCCAAACTGGGCATGGTAGTCAGACTCGCAGTACGGGACACCATCCCTTTGGGAGAGGGGGGAGAGGGAGGTGAGTGGTGAGGAGCCAGGCTGGGCACCTCCTCACAGCCACCCTGGCCCCGGGGGCACAGCCCTGCAACGGGAGGCAGGGCCAAGCCTGCCAGTGACACTCACTTGCTGATGTACTCGCCAGTGAGGATGATCCCACACGTTTGGCACTTGAAGCAGCTGACGTGCCACTGCTTCTCCAGGGCCAGGAGGGACTGGCCTTGCTTAATCTCCTCCTTGCAGCCTGCACAGTCTGGGGGACAGGAGAAGGAGGGAACGTGTCAGACCACTACAGAGAACACCCACATCTGCTGGCCCACACTGAGACACCCTGGCCACTTAACCATGCACACTCTTCACACCCAGAAGAAAGCCCTGCCCCAGGGGACTCCCTTTTCTAGGAGATGATGCTGTTCTAAACACCCTGCTCCTAAGACTGCTTCAGCAGTAGCCCCTTGGAGATAATTTCTTCATGGGCAATAATTTCTTTATGGCAATACACCACCTCTGTTTGTTCCCAGCAAAGGATCCAGGGGGAAAGCTTCCTGCTGGAGCTGGGACCTCTGAGGCACTGTGGCACCCAGCCACCACAATACAGAGCCAAGTCTCCTTGCTGGGCAATGAGCTGGAGCCAGGGCAAGTGCGTGGGCTGAGGGGCTGTGGTGTCCTGGCAGGTCCCCGGGGGCTGCCCTCCAGGGCGGGAGCAGTGGGAAGTGTCTGGCAGTGAACGCAGCAGAGGAAGGGCTGTGCTCTCCGGCAGCCGCGTCCGGCCCTGCTGCAGTATTTACGAGACTCCCTTCCTTCCCCACTTCCCCTGGCTCCCGTCAAGGCTGGGAGCAGGAAGCACATGGGCCTCGGACCCCCGACCTTGACTTCTCCTCGTCCTCTTCTCCTCTTGGGCAGCAGGTTTGCCCGGATGGGGCTTCCCCTTACCCCCCTCTCTCCCTGCTGCTGCACCAGGGGGGCAGCAGCACCCTGGGAGCAGGCAGGCTTTTCCACTCATCCCATCTCCAGGCAGCACTGCACCAAGTCCCTGCCTGCTGGACAAAGCTGAGCCAGGATCCATTCCCTGTCTCACACAGGTCCTGCCATTTTTTTTAGTTGCTGCAGGGAGAGCCTCAGCATCCTTCTTTCCAGTCCCTGACACCCTACCTGGGTGGCAGTGCTAGGATGACCTGGGCTGCAAGGGGCACACACGGGCAGCAGGCTGCATCTGGCTGGGAATAAAGCACTGATATTCCAAGGCTCACTGAGCTGCAGCAGCAAGGGCCCCATCTGGCCCCCCCATGGCTCATCCCACTGACGTGGCAGGGTTTGGGCATCATGGTGTGGCACAGCTCCCAGCTCTCCCTGCCTTCTGCCACCTGCCCATGCATCGTGCTGAGACAGCTCCCCTGGGACTTGACAGCAGCAACCATGGGGGACAGTGAAGCATGGACATTCATGCTGCAGTCCCCTCACTCCAGACAGGGGCTGAAGTGAGCCCTGTGTGCAAGAGCTCCATGCCAGGGGGATGCTCTGCCAGCCCTTGAAGCACAGCCCCCATGGGATGCTCAGCAGGGGCCCAGGGCAAAGAGCCATGGGCAAAACTTCATGAGAGGGGAAGGCATGAAAAGAGGGTATCCCAAAGAACAACCTGGGGTCTAAACCAAGGCCAAGTCAACCAAAAAGGGTCTGTCTATTGCTCTTGCCAAGTTTTAGCTTAGGTTCATCAGCACAAATCAGTTAGTGCTTGCAGAGGCAGTGACTAATGGCAGCAGCATTGGCAAAGCTGGGCAAGCAGTCCCAGGCTGTCACTTGGACCTTGATGCAGGTGGACACAAAGCAACATCTGGGCACTGCCTCGGAGCAACCTAGCTTCAAAACCTCCCTGCTGCCCTAGACAGTGCCTGCCAGAGTGGTGACACCCACCCAGGTCACAAATAGGCCAAGGGAGTTTCCGAAACCAGTGGTGACCTGCAATCCCGGGTGGAGCTGCAGGACTACCCTGTTGTTCCTCCTCTGAAACCTCTGTGAATGCCTGTGGCTCCACGTAGTGCTGCACACTGCCCAAAGCTTGTCCTGTCACCCCCTTGAGCACCATCCAGGGGCACGTGTCACCCTCCATGCAGCCATCACATCACTCCAGAGCAGTCAACTTACGGCTGGGCCCATGGATCTTGATGGGTTTGGTGCTGATGAGAGAATGGGAGCAGTTCTGGCAGACACAGTCCTTCCCGCTGAACGTCACCTTGTCTCCAATGGGGAATGGCTTCCTGTGGACAAAGAGAGGTGGGGAGGCATGAGCCGCTTGCTGCCCTTCTTGCAGTACTTGTGGCTGCCCATCACCTCCTTCTCCAAGGGCCAGCAGGACCCATGGTGCCCGGGAGCAGAGGGGCTCCAGGAAAGGGCTAAAAAGGGAGGCAGCCAGTGTGCTGGGGCAGGAGGACTGAGGCATTAAGGCAGGTCTCCAGGCTGAAAAGGGAAGGGTCAGAGCCATTTTGTTGCACTAGGATAATGAAGAGGAGGTGCCTGCTGTGGTGTTGAGCAGGGAATGAGGGGCTGAGGGTTAATGAGCAGTCCTCTGCACAGCAAGGGTGGCCACACACCCTTGGTGATGGGTTCAGCTCACCTGCAGGTGCTGCAGACAAAGCACTTGGGGTGGTAGGTCCTCCCGAGGGCGGAGATGACCTCTCCGGTGATGAAGTCCCCGCAGCTGTCACAGCGGGTCCCATAGAGCTGCTGGTAGTCGTGGGTGCAGATGTACTCCTGGTTCTTAAAGAAGAAGCCGGACTGGGCCAGGTCACAGCCGCACACTGCAGGGACACGCACCCGTCACGGGGCCGCGGGCAGGTCCGGCCCCGGGGCTCAGCCGGGATCCGAAGCCACTTCTGCCCAGCAGGTATCTGGGAGGGGTTCCCTGCCCAGCAGGTATCTGGGAGGGGTTCCCTGCCCTTCCCCAGCACCACAAGAGGTCAGTGTTGGGCCGCGGCGGGTGCAGGGCGGGCTGCCCCGACGGGCAGGGCTGGGCAGCGCCGGAAGGAAGCCCTGCAGACCCTCACTGGGCACAAACAGCCCGGGAGGGGCCGTGCCAGCACCTCCTGCACCCACGGCAACGGGATGGGGCTCGGCCCCTCCATTTGACACTCACATAGTGTCAGGAAGCCAAGAGCAAGACTGCAAAGAGCTGGGCACGCCCTAGGGACAGCTGGGGAGAGGTCTTCTCCACACCCTGGGGCCTTGGCCACCTACATGACGAGCTATCTCCACTCCCTGCCCTAAACACGAAGCTGTGTCCTAATGGGAACAGGTACTGGGACACTGTTGTTGGTGTTCTCGCTGCTTGTTTTTCCACAGATATCCAGCCCAACCTTGCTTCCTTCCCTGCTGTGGGAACCGTGGGTGGTGCACAGCCCATCAGATGAATCCAAGGAGATGTGGCAAGCCCTGGCCCTCAGCATAATTTCCCTCTTCCAACTTCTCCATCCACAGATAGGTCTCAAGTGCATCAGACTCCGGAAAGCACCTCGGGAGTGGCACAGGGACCAGGTCTTTGGGCCGTTGCATGATGCCCAGCCCCTGTCCACCGAGGTGATAAGGTAGAAGGGAGGACTTAAAAAACAAGTGAGCACCCACTGGCACAGCCCATCCTTGGTCTCTGCTTCACCCTGCATCCCCAAGCACCCCCCTGTCCTGTCCTTGCACGTCCCACCCCCACCCCTGGGCCAGCCCACGCAGCCACATTCCCCCACTGGCTGCAGGGCCCCCAGAGGCAGAGATGCAGCTCCTCTCCCACGGACCATCCCCTGGCAGAGCTGCACCCTCTAGCTGTGGGCAGACAGCACCTGCTGCTCTCCAAAACAGCCTGCCAGCACTTCCTTGTCAGTGACAAAGAACACGCCACCAGCTCTGGGACAGCATCAGGAAGAAACAGCAAGAAAAACCAGGGCAGGTCTGGGCCCCGTTTCCTGAGGGACCCCGGAGCACAACCCCAGGGGCTGCAGCAGCCGGGCCGGGCTCCCGGGGACACGGCGGGGCAGCCACGGGCTGGCGTGGGAGCAGCCAGGCGAGGTGGCAGGGGAGCTGCGAGGAAAGGTGAGACAGGAGGGTTTCCTCTCATTATTTATTCCCTTTCATTTGGAAATCAGGCAGCGAGCCCTGCCAGGCTCTCCCTGCCGGCTCCTGCCCCCTTGGAAGCCAAGGCTGCCTGAGCCCTTTGTCTGGATGCGCAGCTCCCGCCCAACCCCGCACGTCGGGGCTGGGAAGGGGCAGGGGGCTGGGCAGGGGGCTGGGCCCGCTGCCCCACACGTGTAGTCGAACCCCGAGAGCAACCCGGGGCCCACACCCCCCTCCAGAGATGTGGGGCTGCCCACGCCGTGAGGACCAGGGTTGGTGTCAGCCCAGGGGGGAATCTCCTCCAGCCAAACCCTCTGTTCCCAGCGGAGGAGCAGCAAAGTACGGCCAAGGGGACAGGGATTTATGCCCTGCTTAGCACAAGGTGCTGGGAGCTTTGAAGACGAGAGATCTTTAAAAAGCCCTGGGAACAGGATGCTTTACAACCTACAAAAGCAGCCACTGGCCTGACTGCTTTAATAAATGCTTAAGGACAATTCAGCACTAGATCTGGGCCAGTGGCTTTTACAGCCCTGCAGATCTCTTGTGCTCAGGGAGGATTTGAGCAGCTTCTCTACTTCTGCCAGCCCCCAGGGGCCAGGGAGCCCCAGAGGCATCCCATGGCACCTTGGTGGCATCCCACACATGGGTGGCAGTGATCCATCAGCAACCCCCAGCCCTGTCAGGAGCCACTTCAGGTGTCTCCCCCACCTTGCTGCCTCTCAGTCAGGCTGGCAACACCTCCTCTTCTTGATTTGGGGGCAGGCAGGCAGCTGAAGGAAAGAGTACCCTCCCCCCCCCCCCCAACACCCGGGGGGGGGGGTGTGTTTGGGACCAGCACAGCTTGAGGGTAGTGAGGGTGCCCAGGTCTCTGCCATCCCTGGCATCAAGCAGGGGCATTGCCTGCACCATGCCAGCCCTGTGCCATTACCTCCCTGCCTGCACCACCCCGGGGGTGTGACCACATTCCAGTGGGCCAGATAGCTCTGTCCCCAACCTTTTGCCTTCCAGACTGCAACCTGGCCACCAGCTCTTCAGGCAGCGCTGTCCTACCTTGGCAGGTGAAGCAGCGGATGTGGAAGTGGTTGCTCTGGACACGAACCACCTCTCCCTTGCAGGTGTCCCCGCAGCGGTAACACTGGATGACAGTGGAGCTGCTCCCAGGAGTGTAGGGGTTTTGCTGATAGGGAACTGCTGGCCGATAGGAGGGAGGGAAAAGCAAGAGAGGGAAATGATCTGTTAGCATTTGGGACACAGCCAGACATCATGGCACTGACCTCAGCCGGGGAGCTGGAGAAGAGCCCTCCAGCCACTGTGACACAGAAGCTGGACATCAGGACATTGCTAATGGCAAAGAACAGCTGAGACCCTGCTGGTGCCCAGTGACTCTGAGCTGGATGCCTGCCCGTGCCTGGATTTGGGATTTCCTTCTCCCCACAAAAGAGCCATTACCCATGTCTGGCTCATAGACCTGCAGTCCTAAGTGCTGTGCAGTGCAAGTGCCTGGGCACTGCTTCCTACCCCTGCATGGGCAACCAGGTCACCTGCACCATCACCCCAAAGCCACACAGAGCTCCCCAGATGCTCTCCTATTTCCTAAGCAGGTGCAGAAGGACAACACAGGGACCAGCTACCTACTGGCTTGGCTCTGCTCAGCCCTCAGGCAGCCCTGGCTCACTGCTGACCAGCTCAGAGACACTCCAGCGAGCAAGGATTTGGCAGCAGCATGGGAAGGAACTGTTGTTTTCTGGAGCTTCCACTTGTTTGGTTAGGAACTGGATGAAGAAGTAATTTTTCAAGGAGCTTTCAAACATCACAGCAATTGAGTGTTTGGGACTCTCACCTCCTCGGTGAGGAGCAGCATCCCAGCCCTGCTGCTCCTTCCGGAGCGGCACCACGGCACGTGCAGGCTCTGTGCTGAGCTGGGGAGGGCAACACGGGCAAGATCCAACCTTCTCCTGCTGCAGACCATCTTGGTACTTACCTGCATTCCTCATCCCCCTCCAGCAGCTCTGCAGATCACCACAAAGGGTTGATGCTCTGCAGCCTTGCCCCCATGCTCCACGGGAGGAATGGTACAGAGCAGGGGATCTTTCAACTGTCCCAGCACAGTCCCCAAAAGCACACAGAAAACATTTTAAAGAGCAGCTCCTGTTTTCCCTGCCCCACCTGCAGATACATGGGCTTCTGGTAGAAGCTGGCTGACATCAAGCTAACAGCCACAGGCAGAGGCCAAGCAGCAAAGGACTTGTTTGTTGTAGGATTTCAGAGAGAGCATTGCAATTTGGGCAACTTGAGCAGTGAACATTTCAATGGACCAGAGACTTTCTGACCCAGCGCTGAACTGCATTCCCAGGAACAAGAGAAGCAGCTGATTGAAACCTGGTATGTGAACTCCCACCAGAGCAGGGAGGAAAGGACACAGGACAGAGGAGATCACTCATCAGAGAGGCTCCTCGTTCACTGTGGGACAGATCATGTGACAGAACAGAAACAGCCCATTATCAGCTTCAAAAGCAAAGCAAAGGAAGTAAAAATGACATTGAAACTGCCTCACAGTAGAGCCCCATCCTATACACCAAGTGCCCAGAGACACACTATGGGTGTGCCACACTGCCCACCACTGGGAGAATGGCCTGACCCTCCCTGACTGCTGCTCCATCCCCTGGGGACTGGACCTGCCTTGCCAAGTCTGACCCAGGACTGCAAGGAAAGCTGAGGGCCTTTCCTGTGAGTGCCTCCCAGCCCCCCTTGCAAAGCTCAGGCTCCAGCCTTGACATCAACTTCCAACAGTTGCTAGGACTTCCCTCCTGATCATTCTCTTGCAGGCCAAGAGCTTTCAAAGATCTAAATCACCTTCAGGTCCCAAAGACAATGACGGACACTTGTAAAGGGAACAGGGTACCCCACCCATGCTTTTGCAGGGAGGCACAAGCCCTGGGAAGAGGAGTCCAGGACCTCCTGCAGCAGCTCTTACTGCTGGCAGGCATGCACAAACTCTGCAGCAGCCCAGGGAGACCCAGGCCTGACCCCAACAGGATGTCCCAAGGTTGGAATATGTGGGGGATCTCTTCTGTAGGGGCATCCAGCAGAGCAAGAGTTACAGCACTGAAACTTCCACCCACACACCCCAAAGCTCGCACCCTCGCTGGAGAACAAAGCAGGAGCCAAGCCCTGGGACACAGCCATGGCAATCCACAAAGCTTGGAGAGAAAAGCAGGAGGGAGGTGGGGTGAAAGGCTGGGAAATAATCAACACTTAAACAAACATTAATAATAAAAAAGGGGAAGGGGGAAAAAAAAAATCAATGTCAGAAAATGCAGGCATCGTTTATTCCGGGCTTCTGGTCTCTAGGGAAACTTCTTGGTGTCCATAGCAACACATCACCAAGCCCCTGCACTAACAGGTCTGATGGGAGAGAAGGCAGAGGAAAAGGAGTGGAGGATGGAAAAGATGCTTCTAGCTGCATTACGCCACTGGCAGAGATGAATCTGATGCGGTCACTCCTTTTTGTACCCACAGAGATGCGTCAGGACCCAGCTTAGGGCACCAGCATCTTTCTGCCTGCCAGCTTTGTTCAGTCCTAAGCCAAAAGCTCCCTGATTTGTGATTAACCTCCAGCCCATGCTGGAATTTTGCTCTGGGAACATTAATGCATTGTTTTGCTGGGGCTGTGCTTGTTTTCAGGCAGGCAGCTGCCCGCCTCATGGCCTCACACAGGAAGTATTACACATCACAACACCTCTGAGCAGAGGGACAGCTGAGCAGGGCAAAGCTCATTACACCAAAATAATCCAGTAATAACGTAAGTAGCATTAGTGGCTGCGCAGGCTGAGATACAGCAGTCAGGGTGAGGGGGTGGGAGCTGCCCAAGGAATGCCTTAATCTCCCCCCAGTTTGCTCCTGCTTTTGCTGGTAGAGTGGGAAATTAAGCTGGGCTCACTGGGTGATTAATGCATTTGTGCCCCACAATGCAGCTCAAAAGGCTGCCCAGGGCTGGGATTCTCCATGACTGCCCTCCTGTCCTGGCTGGTGCTTGATGCACAGGGCTGGAGGAGCTGCTGTGGCCATGACTGGGCAGGGAGCTGCCGTGTGGCTGTGTGGGCACTCAACAGATTTCCCACTGATCCAGATTAAGGCGGCACCTCCGGTCAGGGATCGGTGCCCTGTGCAGTTTTACAGCCAGCAGCAGCCATACGCAAGCAAGGGAGCTTGCAACCTGGTATGGGGAGAGATGGTGCCCCCAAACAACCCCCCAGGTTGAGCTATCTCCCTGAGGAGGGCAGAGGGAGCTTGCCCAAGAGATCCTCCAAGCCCTGCTGCAGTGAGCAATCTGCAGGTTCCTGCTGTGCATCCCTAGGCAATCCCACTCCTTCCTTCCCAGAGCACCCATCTTCCGCTTCAGGAGGGTCAACAACCTTGTTGGTCTTCCTGTCCTCTTCCTGCACGGTGTCCCAGCCCTCTGCTTAGGAGCAGCAGGACAAGGGAATGCAGAACCCTTCTGCTGCCTCTGAAATGCTTTGGGCCCTTCATGAGCAGGGGGCTGATGGGAGATGATCCCCACCTACCCTGGCAGGACACCAATGCAGGTAACAGGGCACAGCCCCCCAGGGTGGGCTCAGGACTGACACAGAGCAAGCCCCACAAAGCTGCCTGGAACCCCCTCCACCCAGACAGCCCCATGTACCACGGCCACATACCCCAGCAGCAAACCAGAACCACATTTCCAGGAGCACAAGCTGCAAGAAGACATCCAGGGACATTTATAGGGATCCATCATCCCTTACTGGAATCAGATCAAGTCCTGCTGGTTTCCACCTACCTCCCTTTTTTCAGCCCACCAGCCTTCCCAGAAGGCATGACTGGGCAGGGAGCTGCCGTGTGGCTGTGTGGGCACTCAACAGATTTCCCACTGATCCAGATTAAGGCGGCACCTCCGGTCAGGGATCGGTGCCCTGTGCAGTTTTACAGCCAGCAGCAGCCATACGCAAGCAAGGGAGCTTGCAACCTGGTGTGGGGAGAGATGGTGCCCCCAAACAACACCCCAGGTTGAGCAGAGGAGCTATCTCCCCGAGGAGGGCAGAGGGAGCTTGCCCAAGAGATCCTCCAAGCCCTGCTGCAGTGAGCAATCTGCAGGTTCCTGCTGTGCATCCCTAGGCAATCCCACTCCTTCCTTCCCAGAGCACCCATCTTCCGCTTCAGGAGGGTCAACAACCTTGTTGGTCTTCCTGTCCTCTTCCTGCACGGTGTCCCAGCCCTCTGCTTAGGAGCAGCAGGACAAGGGAATGCAGAACCCTTCTGCTGCCTCTGAAATGCTTTGGGCCCTTCATGAGCAGGGGGCTGATGGGAGATGATCCCCACCTACCCTGGCAGGACACCAATGCAGGTAACAGGGCACAGCCCCCCAGGGTGGGCTCAGGACTGACACAGAGCAAGCCCCACAAAGCTGCCTGGAACCCCCTCCACCCAGACAGCCCCATGTACCACGGCCACATACCCCAGCAGCAAACCAGAACCACATTTCCAGGAGCACAAGCTGCAAGAAGACATCCAGGGACATTTATAGGGATCCATCATCCCTTACTGGAATCAGATCAAGTCCTGCTGGTTTCCACCTACCTCCCTTTTTTTCAGCCCACCAGCCTTCCCAGAAGGTCATTTCGGTAGAAACTGCAGCTGTTTGGGTTTGCATCATTAGCAACAGGTAATTGAAAGCTCCCACCCAGCTCCGAGAGGCTGCCCTGGTGCTGTGTTTGCTATTAGCATGTTTATGAGACAGCCTCTCCACGGGGGGGGTGAGAAGGCCTGATTTACGGAATTACCAGTAATTAATATTTGCACAAGGCTCAGAGAGCCACAGGTGAAGGGGACTGTGGAAAAGCACAGCGTTCATCCTTTAATTAATACTGAGAGGTGGTGCCCCCACGGGAAGCACGTGCAGGAGAGCAAGTGTGTGCCGGCCACGGGTGGGGGAGATCGATGTCCCCACGGGGATGGCTCCAGGGAGCGGCACCGGGCGGGCACGGGGAGCTGGGTCCCCACGCCCCAGGGTGGGCTGCGTGGCCCTGGTGTCCCCAGGGAAGATGCCAGGGCACTGCGTGAGCGCGGGGGGGAACCGGGCGGCTCAGG